CTGAAGGGCCGACCATACGATACCCTACACAACTACCACAGAACTCTATCTTTCTGCGGATTTTTATTGCGCGATTAAAGGTCAACAGCGCCTCTTCCTATTTTCCGAATATTACCAATATTCAGTACAGCCCTTTTAATTACTTGTCCATACTCCCTTCAGCGTGGGTTGTTTTGTGATGTTTGGCTTATAATTGTAGCATATATATATATATATATATATATATATATCAAATCGAAAAAAGTTTTCGGTTCACTTCATCCCAAAATTATTATCTGATCATCACCGAAAATTATAGGCGTTGTCCTTGAACATAACTGGAACCTCATGGAACATTTCAAAGCGATCAGCGCTATATTTCCGCCCTCCAGTGTGATAATGGTTTATTAAATAATATCTGAATACATAAGTACCTGTAAATATTTACGTGTAACTCCCACCTCCGAGTACATACGACAGCATAATTGGTATCAATTTAAAGGCCAACCACTCCTCTTGGATATACTATCAATTTCTCGGCTCTATATCCTTCAGGAGTATATATATACGCTATAGAATACAGATTTTGTCATTTTTCACACAAAAGTCAGGGTCCATTTGACCCGCTAAATATTGACCGATCTTTATCAAAACAGACATGCTTATTCTTTGGCCCAATCCCCTTCTCCATGTAAAAATTCAAGATGTTTGGGCCATAATTGCGGCGACAAAAATTAACTATTTGGTCCATTTCATCCTCTAAATATTAACCGATCTTTTTTAAAAACATAAGCGGTCTTCATTGGGCCGAACCCATCCTACATGCAAAATTTCGTGAAGATTTGTCTATAACTGTGGCCTGCATCGTGTTTACAAATTATAATGGACAGACGGACAGTTCGGTTGGAAAATGTGTCCAAAAGCCCTATACTGCCGAATACTAGGGAGTATCGTTATATTAATAATTAATAGTTTTTATACGAATTCAATGAGAACCCAAAATACCAAATTACAGCCAATTCTACTGAAAAACATGTCCAAAATTCCGAATATTAGGGTTTACCGTTATATGGAGGCTACACCAAAACGTGGACCGATATATGCCATTTACAATACCAAACAACTCAGGAGTACTAGCAACGTTTGTGCAAAATTTTAATGCTATATCTAAACCAGTAAGCAGAGCAATATAGTCGGACGGGGCCGACCATACGATACCCTACACAACTGCAACGGAACTTTAACTTTCCGCTGGTGTTTATTCCGAGCCTGGACAATATTTCGTGATATTTGCACATTCTTGCCCCATTAGAGGTCACCGAAAATTATAGGCGTTGTCTTGACCATAACTGGAATTGTATTGACCATAACTGGAATCTAATGGAAAATTTCAAAGCAGTCAGCGCTATAATTCCGCCCTCTAGTGTGGTAATGGGTTTCTAAATAATATCTCAGTACGTAAGCACCCGTAAATATTTATGTGTACTGACTAAATACTGACCGATCTTCATCAAAACAGGCATACTTATTCTTTGGCCCGATCCCCTTCTCCATGCAAAAATTCGCGGTGTTTGGGCCATAATTACGGCCTCTGGAACGACCAGAAAAACCGACACAAAAATAAAGTTTTTGGTCCATTTCATCCCCTAAATATTAACCGATCTTTTTCAAAAGCAATAGGGGTCTTCATTGGCCAGAACCCATCCTACATGCAAAATTTGAAGACGTGAAGATTGGTCCATAACTGTGGCCTTTATCGTGTTTACAAATTATAATGGACAGACGGACGGATGGACACACATGTCTAGATCGACTCAGCTAGTCGAGATATGACGATCGGTATACTTAAAGGTGGGTCTAGGACCAATATTTCGCGGCGTTACAAACTTTTGGGGCTGCACAAAGCTTTAATACCTTGACAACATAGTTGTGTAGGGTATAAATATTGTGATGTCTATCATGATTTTAACAGACAGGCGGGCATGCGTAAATCGACATAGAATGCGTAAATCGACATTCTGATTACGAATATATATACTTTGTGGGGTCTCCGGTGAATATTTCGAGGTGTTGTAAATGACAAATTTAATATACAAAAGAATGCGAATATTAATAATTTTTGGTACGGAGATTTGTTATCAAATACGAATACAAAATATCAAATTACATCGAGTTCGGTTAAAAAACGCACTCAAAAATCCCAAAATTAAGGTTATGGGGCTACCCAAAAAATTTGACCCATATTGACGACAATTCAATCGAAAAACTTTCCCAAAATCCTCAAGATTCAGATGTTTGCGGATATTGTTATATGGATGCTATCCTGAAAACATGTCCAGACTCCTTATTTCGGGTTATTAGAATAAGAACAATATTAATATTTTTTGGGGAATTACAGTGAATTCGGTTGAAAACCGGTATAAAATCCCAAAATGTCGAAATTTTTTAAAGGGTACCGTTATATGAAGGCTGTCGGAGAAATGTGAACCAATATTGACATTTTTATGAAAAATCGTAAATTTTTTTACCACAAATAGTATTAGCATGTAGCATTATCTTGTAATGATTTTAAAATAATTCATTATAGTTTTAAGTGTTCGTTATAATTATTTTTGTTAAAACATCATTAATAGAAGAAATATGAAGTCTCAATAAATCATATAGCATCGGAAATGAGACAAAATTAATATACCCTCCATACTATGGGGGAGGGTAAAAATATAAATCGTTATTGATCCTCGTAGTCACTGACAAATTTTTCACATAGTCTTTGCGAACATTTTGTAGTAAATGTCTTTGTTTTGACATAATCCCCTAAACATGTATCATCCTATGTTAAGTATTTTGATAGTTCTACTCTAATTTTCCTGGCTCAGCAGGTTTAATATTGATCAATATTTCGGTATATGTAGAACATCCACATAAAGGTTTAGTTTTGCATGATAGCTGTGTAGGTTCAAAATAAAGTATTAAACTAAAATATTGACCATTTGTGGGGAAAGTACCAGAAGAAGTAAACCAATGGGTCCCATCTTCGGTTCAAATCGGACATTCCATTCGCCTGACATTGGATTTATTAATATTGAAAATTTTGTCCATTTGTGGGGGAGGAGTCGACTAATGAGTTTCATCTTCAGACCTGACATAGGCTTAGTAAGATAGTAGGTTGTACAAAGTTTGGTTCATATCGGATTGAACTAAGTTTGGGAGAAATATTACGATGTCCATAGTTTCATTGAAATAGTATTAAATAAAATATATTAAATAAAAAATTAATTTTTGAAGCCCTTTAATGAAAAAATTTAATATGATAGATAATATGATCCTACAATCCAGTTCATTTCATCTGTCCTCACAACATTTAGAAGAAATATGCCTTGGGGAAGAACTGCAAGTCAGATAACAAATATTAAAAGAAAAAAACAATGTTGTGCGTTTCTATTTTTTTCTTTATGGTTAAACTAAAGGTAATAACAAACAAATCTAGACATCCATTAAAAAACCGAACGGAAAAAACACATCGAAAACTATGCTCGAAAGAAAAAAAAAACAACAAAACAGAAAAGAAAAATAAAAACAACAACAATAACTAAACTAAAATCAAAACAAACCGATATTAGTTGATGAATGGTTTAGGCATCAGACCAAACAGCCAAAAAGGGGGTCACACTAACACCAATAGATATATATTTTGACTAGACACACATACTCACAAATGCATACATTCAGCGATTGGCATATGGGCAGACTGACAGTCAGACAGACAGAGAGACAGTTATTGACTATACACACAGACAGAGAGATACAAGAACAAAAATACAAAACATTAAAATTAACAAAAACAACATCAATAAAACAACAATAACAACAACGAAAAAATTATAACGGGGTTTATTAAGGACATTTAGTATGAATGAATAAACGAACGAACGATGATGATACACACACATACATACAAACACAATATATAAATGATGTGAATATGAGAGAGAGTTAGAGAGAGAGAGAGAAAGGGGAACTGTTATGTTGTGACGTGAATAAGTGTAAACAAATTGTTAGTGTATTGGGTGCAAGAGACAATTTAAGTGAGAGAAAGAGAGAGCGAGAATTAAAACAGGAAACGGAAATAACAAAAAATATGAAAGAAAAAACAAATACACCAGAAAAAAGAAGTTTAGTTTTTGTTATTGTTGTTAGAGGGCACACACAAGAACCAAATAAAAGAACATCCATACAGAACAAACCAAAACTGATGAGGGTAAAGAAACAAGAAGAAGAAGAAGAGGGGGAAACAAATGTACAACAACATTAAAGGAATAATAATAACAATAAAACAACACACACAGAGAGATTTGTTAGTAACATTTGTTGTATTAGTAGTAGTAGAGTAGTAGTTGTTGTTGAACTTTTTGGTAATTACTTAGTTAACGGATACACAAGTTGGGTTTCCGAATATTCGGTTCGGTTTTTTTTTGTTTTTCTTTTTTGTTTCTGTTCTTTTGTACGTTCAGTTCACTTCATTACAACTGACGTACAGACGGCAAAACAGACAACGTGGTCGATGGGGGAATGTTGGGGGAAGACACACACACAGAAGAGGGAAACCCAATGGAGAAATGGAAATCAATTTGTTTGTCTGTTAGCTTTGAGCCTGTGTTAGCTAGCCTTTGTACGTTTTTTTTGTTTGGTTTGGTTCGTTTAAAAAACACAATTTGGCTAAATGGAAATGTTGATCAGATCCTCTTTTTTGCGGTCCAAAAATATGCAGAATTTCGATGATGTTTTTTTCTGGGTTTCTTTTTTTTTTGTTTGACGTTGTAAAATGTAAGGAAAAATGATTGGCTTTTAGCTTTTTGAATGTTGTTAGTCGGTGGTTTTGTGAATTATTTTTTTTTGAGATTGGTTAGCTTGTGGCATGGCATGGCATGGCGGGGCAAATTAGTTCATTTTTTGAGGGAGATAGAAAGAAGTTTCTTTCGTATTTGCATTATAAAAACTGATACCACGTATAAGTTCAGCACCTGTCCTGAGGATGATGTTTGGAGGTAGGAATTAACGTCCGTCTCGATCATACAGCTACGCAGTGAATCAGGTATAAACATGCCTTGTTGAAAAAGGCTCTTTGAATGTGGCTCGTGGTTGTTGTTGTTGTTGCTGCTGTTGCGGTTGCTCTAGTTGATGGTAATGTTTGTCTTTTGTAGAGTTGTGTTGTTTTTTTACAGTTTGTCGTTGTATGCTGGTTTATTTGTATTTTTTATAGTTGTTGTTAATTATCCTTGGAAGACGTTAAGTTTTATTTTATGTTGAGCTTTAGTATTTTTCATTGCTTTAATAAGTTTGTAGTGCTGTCTGAATAATTTTTTCGGAATTATTGAAGACATCGAATTGAATCTGTAAGGAAGAAAAATAATATGGTTAAAATTTTTTAGAATTAAAGAAAATGTAGATACAATTTGCAAAAGATCACAACTGTTGCATAAACGTCCGTTCAATATGGTATTGTACTAAATTATATAATTTATTTTTTTAAAACAAATCGTACTGGTATTTGAAAAAGTGAACGTTTACTAAAATAAAGTACGCATTCAAAATACATACAATTTTTACAATTATGTGTTTCACCTGACAAGAATCCGACATACCACAACTTTCACATTTTCAATCAGTGAGGTAAATTCAAAAGCCAATCTTGTCTCTGACAAAGGTTTTGAGTGGGTACAAGTCACAATCAGATCAAACCAATACCAGAGAATTATGCAGCTCTGATAAAAAAAAACTAAAAAGTATAAATATTCCTATATGGTGATACTGATCTCGATTTCAACTTCGCTGATGAACCATTTAATGACTCTATTGCTGTAGAGTGTCGATGTAAGCCAAGACCAATAAAATTCAGGATAGTACATATTAGTAAAATGCTCTGATAAAAATAATGTAAAATCGTTGGACTTTTTAAAGAGAAACCCAGGTTCCTTTAAGTTTTTTATCCTAATATAGCATCAAAAGGTACATAAATGCTATACAAACGACTTAAAGTAAGTCGTCTTCAAAAATAAGCAAAAGTCCAATAATTATTTTTATGTGCCTTTTAATGTGCCTTCCTCTACCCTACATAATATTATATACATATGCACAAAGACCTAATGCCCTGTACCAAAGTGAGGTGAAGCTTATACAAATTGTTCTCCTCAACACTATATAGAAATTCCGTAGTTCCATGGAAAACCAAAATAGCACATAAAAGCCAGGATAAGTGCAACTCCGACTGACTATTTTTTTATACTCCACCATAAGGTTGAGTGAATATTAAATTTGTCATTGCATTAAAATTCGTCGATTTATGAGATCGCAATATTTGAGATAAAGTTTTGAAATTTGGCTCTGGCATTGCTATTACTCCTAGGATAGCTCGTATTGTAAAAGAGGTATATCGGTCCAGGGGATTTTCAACACGTTTTTCAACCGAATAGACTGTAATTTGCTATGTTTGATTCTCATTGGGTGCCAAATCTTCCTACCGAAAATTATCAATATTGGTCCACTTTAGCGGGTGGCCACCATATGTTGGCGGTTTTAGACACGTTTTTCACAGAATCAGCTATAATTTTGTATATTTGCTATCAGAAAATCTACTTACGAAAAATTATAAATATTGGCATATATTTCGGGGTAGCCCCCATATAACGGTACCCCCAATATTCGGTATTTTGATGGTTTTGGGCACATGTTTCTACCTTATTTTGGGTTGTGGTATGGAAGTAGGTTAGGTTACGTTGAAAAGAGGGGTGGATGATTCCACCATATGTTCAACATGAGAAGGACACACATAAGCCATTTAAGGTCTGTTGTGCGCTCTATAAATGTGGAGAATGTCAAGAATTAGTGAAAGTTTATATTAAAAACATTTGAGTTTGATTTCACTATTAATCTTGGAATTCCGTGTTTTTTTTTTGTGAACTCCTTCAATCTTCTCCATTCACACCCCTCAGATCGGTTAGTCCGTGAAGAGTGTCATTTCCCAAGAATTGTCTCCGAAGGCATGTAAATGCCGAATTTTCTTATAGAAGTGGCTAAAACTTGACATACGGATATATATTCCGAGCCAATATTTCGCGATAGTTGCACTCTCTTGACAGATTATAGGTCAAAAGCTTCACTCCAAATCTTGTTTTGCCGAGGCGAGTATTTACGCTATAAAATAAAAGTTCTGTCACTTTAAGTTTATCTAAACAGTCGTTCTAAGTATTTGATCTTATCCTCTTCTCCGTGTAAAATGTGTGAGGTTCTGCATATAATAATGGCCTCTTGAGCCATTAGACAATACGACAAAAATAAAGTTTTCAGTTCATTGCACCCCCTAAATATGAGCTCAACATCACCGAAAACTTCATGTAAAATTTTAAAGCGATCAGCCTGACATTTCCGCCCTCTAGTTGGGTAATAGTAATACTAAATAAAATCAAAACACATAGACACTTTAAAATATTTACGTATAACTCCCACAACCGATTACATACAACTACATAATGGTATCAATTTAAAGGTTAAACACCCCTCTTGGATATACTATCAATTTTTCGGGTCTATGTCCTTCAGAAATAAATATATACTCCCCAGAATACAAATTTTGTAATTTTTCAGACAATAGACCCGTTACATATTGACTGATCTCCATCAAAACAGTAATGCTTATTCTATGGCCAGACTCTTTACTATGTGTAAAATTTCGTGGTGTTCGGGCCATACAAGGGATGCTCATATGTACAATATCCTTTAGATATAATAGACATAACATCTTGGAGGCCAAATGAAATGGAAACGGACGAAATTAACTGCATGAAATACATTGATATTTGAACTAAATTAAAACTGCCCATACACATACCAATGTGAAATTTATGAAAAATTTAATGTCAATCATCGAGGAAAATACATATAAGATCTATATATAAATGGACGTGTATGAGCAACCGTGGCATCCACCATTTGGTATGCTGCAACACAGTGCGCTACTCAAAATTTATAACGACAGAAAATCTAATACACGTTATTCATTTTGATGAAATCGGGTGAAAATATATATGGAAGCTATATCTAAACCTGACCCGCTGCTAAATTTCGTGAATATAGAACAAACATAGACTCCTCTATGCATATTCTCAAAAGGAATTATGGGTCTATCTCGATTCCTTTTACCTGTTACAAACATATGGAGAAAGACATAATACCCTGTACCACAGTGTGTTGAAGGATATAATACAGTTTTTGGTCCATTTCCTCCCCTAAATATAAACGAATCATTTCCAAAAACGATAGGGGTCTTCTTTGGCCTGTTTCATGTTTACAAATTATGCTAGACAGACGGACGGACGAGATATGACGATCGATATACTTAAAGGTGGGTTTAGGACCAATATTTCGCGGCGTTACAAACCATTCGGTTTCCAACTAGTGTGTCTGTAATTTGGAACACTATTTTTTCGGAGCATGAACTACCTACAATCACATAACAGTCCCCAGATAAATATCCCGATCGACTTAAAGAATTTTGAATTTATCCACGTGGTGGAGGGTATCAAAATTTAAAAGATAATCTACCTAAAACAATTATAATAATTTCGTTTATTAGGGACTAACATTTTGTAGCCCTAGACAAAATTTAAATATATATTTCTTTAATGTATATTCTTTTGAGTATCTACATCTAGCTTAGATCCGTATAGACTAATGTACAAAAACCCCGTGCTATTTTTGGATAGTCCTAATTTGGCATTTCAGGGCAAAGGCATTTATGCTTATAATTTTTGAGGTTAATGTTTTGAGCCTCAAATTACAAATCCCGGCTAATTTGGGAGTTTTTATTATCCTTATATTCTTGATGGGTAATATGGTGGCTCTATCAAACCATGTCCCTATATTGGAACATTTCTGCAAATATGGTTTGTGATCCTGTGAAGTTTCAGATTTCTAATATTACAAATTTTTTCTGTGGTACAATTTTTAATACGATCTTCCAAAAATCAGAGGTTCATAGTCGAGTTATAAATCAACACTGTCATACATGCAATATGTCAATATACTAGTTTCAGTCGTTTTGTCTGGGCGTTGATGTTCAGTCATTTCTAATAATACTCACCAAAAACAGTCGAATTTGTAAGCGAATGCAATTATGGAAGAACACAGAAGTCGACAGGAAGTTAGAGAAAACGATGACTCCTTCATGGAAGTTTTGATACTGCCAATAGACTTGATGAAACACTTAATATTAGTAGTGTATGTGAGTGTGTGCTCGCGCAATTATCTTTTAAGCAGACGACCAAAATTGCATCATTGGATTAATAAATGATTTGAAATTAGGTGGCAACATCATCGGCATCGGGACAACATTATCAACTTTAATGAGCATTCGTCTGGTGGTGGTCTATAGCAGTGTGTGAATTCTTATTGTTGTTGTTGCTGCTGCTCTTCTTCTAGGCGCTATTATTTTTTGGCTGCTGGTTGTTTGCTTTGCTCTCCTTCTTTGCTACTTTGTTCTTGGAAAATTTATGCACAAGTATTTGTTGACAAGTCAGCTTGAATTTGTTTTTGTGTGTATGTGTATGAGTGAAGATTCAAGTGTATTTGTTGATTTATATTTGTTTTGATTATTGTAATTGTTGTTGGTGTTGTTATCGTTGCTGCTGCAGTTGTTATTTGTTATTATATTGGATTTTTTTTGTTATTTTAATTTTTGTTGTTGTGTTTTATCAGCCATTTTTTATAGGAACTCAACGAATATCGAACATTTTGCTTTGTTATTTTCTTCTTGTTGTTATTATTATTTTTGTGTGTTTTTTTTTTTGTTAATAAAAAATATATATTTATTGTTATTGTCTTTTATTGTTGTTGTGCATTAAACATTTTCATTAGCTGCTGCAGAAATGAAAGTAGAGAAATAAAATAAATGAAAACACCAATCACTGCGGAGGGATTTATTAACACACACACACGCTTTTGTAATTAATTCATTATCATTGAATTGTTATATTTTTGGGTAAATATTTATTCCTTTTAATTGTTTGTTTTTTGTAATTATGCGTTCATAAATTTCATGCGACTTTTTTCAATGCAAAAGTTACATTTATATAGGGAGGTTCTCCATTTTTATACACTCCACCATAGTATGGACGGTATATTAATTTTGTCATTCCGTT